AGTTATAATTCCTTTGTAACAATATTAAAATTTAAAATTTTATTATATTTAAATATTTATAAACTTTTTATGAAAGTGCAATTATGTTTTATTGTTTGATTTTTCTTAATATAATTGGTTAGTATGGTTTTCAATCGGTGACAAGTTTTGCTTAAATGATCCTTCCAATATATGGCATCAGGTAATCACTCTCACTGTCAATAATGTGGCTTGTCCATTTACATCGCAATAAACACGATAAAATGAAAACATAAAATTCAAAGTCTTCAAGCACTTATGCATCCATACAATTCATTAACCGCATGCCACGTATTAAGGTGGTAAGCTTTACCATTCCCTATAACTTACACTATGCCTTACATACTCAAGCCCCAACTTTTGGTTGCCTTTTCATTAAAAGATACCACACCCCTTACAATAGTAATTGGAATAAGCCTAATTGAAATCATAATAAAACACATCAAACCCCTGGGCCTGGGTTAAGACTTTAGGTTGGTACTAAAACTTTAGCTCAATGCGTTTGATGTGTTTTTTTAATGATTTCAGCTAGAGTTTTTTCAATTATTATTGTAAGGTATTGAGTATCTTTTGGTGGAAAAACGGTCAAAAGTTGGAGCTTGAGTGTATAAGGTACATGGTAAGTTGCCAGTAACGGTAAAATTGGTCACCTTAGTGTGTGACATGTGGTTATTGAACTTGCATGGATGCAAATATGCTTGAAGAGTTTGAATTTTTTGTCTTGATTTGTCGTGTTTATAGGGATGTTGATTGACAAGCGACACCAATGAATGTCAGAGTGATTACTTGATGTCATACGATGTTTTTTTTGTTCCAATGATTTACCCACTTTGTTTGCACGAATGTTGTAGTCGAGAACACTACGTAAGGTTACTTCGGGATTGACACGATTGTGATTTAGACCTACAATAGAGGCTCTGCGCCGCCGTGCTTTGGATAGACCCCGGAGAACGGATAAGAAGGAAAGGGGTACGATGCATATAGGATCTAGTCGTTAGTTTGTATGGTTGGACGGACCGTCATAGAAAGTTTGGACTGTTATTTGCTAACACTCAAAAACCTCTTACTGCCTTGCAACTCTCATAAATCTTCCACACCAGACACGAGAGATAAGAGAATCCATCGCCAAACATGTGGTTGCTCAACGTAGAGGAGAGAGTTAACCCCTCAGAGCGCTTAGGGAAAACTGCTCCTAAGTCATAATTTTAGAACTTGACAAAAAAAACAAAGTGGTGCTAATACCATTGTTTCAATTTTAAAATCTGCAAGTATAGCGGGAGGTTGAAACTACGACTATTGTTTTTAAGCGACGATTTTTTTTCCATGTTTCAAAAACTGTTAAAGTTACCTGAGTGTTACCAAGGACTCACTGCCCTCAACGCTTACTAGCCTATATTTGAGTATCGTTCATAATCCTTGAACCCATAAAGGGTTGCACAATTATGGGTCATGATATCATATAAAGTATGGTGACGAAGTAGAATCACGTATCTATGTATGATTGTTTTTTTTTTACCTTGCTTGTGTAGGTGCTTCCTTTGCACGATCTCGCGTAAGCCGTAACTGCCACTCAAACGCAATGTAAGTTATGGGTTTGAAAAGTTAAGAAGAGAGTAGGCATGATGCTTGAGCTTGGTTCTATTTTGAAAGTAAGTCGTATGGTTAATTTAATGTATAGCCCACTGGTGCAGCGCCGTGTTGGGGACTTCGGCGCCCTCAGTGTCGAGTCGCTGCAGGTTTGATTTGTGTGTGACAATGTGTATCTCCTATGCTAGAACGAACGAAAAATTCAAATACCTTCAACTGATCCACCTTTGGGACCGTACGTAGAGACTCTCATACGCGGACTGATAATTCAACAGAAATACGCCCATGGAGGAATGGTGAAAGAAACCGAGGGATGAGGTAAGTTGTACCTCACAAGGTCTTATCATGTTATAGGAGTTCATGACAGGTATAGTTGGGGCACTTGGTCGGAGCGGCATTTCTCATGAACGCTTTGCTTCAATTGCTAAAATTATGTGTAACATGGGCGGAGGATCCCCGTGAGAGATCGACTCGCTCGACAGTGTGTCTACTCCTGTTCAAACGAGAAAGTCAGACACTGCTGGACCAAACCTATACTAAGCCAACAATTTCTTACTAAGTCTTTGGGTGCAGTCAATCAACTGATAGGCTCGACCAACACTCTTCGAACCACTGAAACTTAGAGGCGGTGTATAACCAATAAGTCTAGCTTAACGGATACAACGTGAGTGTTACTTAGTTAACAGACCTAACCCCATTAGTGCGTTAAGGGTACTGCTTAAACCCACGAACCACTGAAATGTAAGGAACATCAACGATGGTCGACCTAGTTAGAAACTTTGTCTATCCATGAGTAACCTTGAGGCGGGTCAAGCCTGAACACATGTGGGGCGGAGGGGGATGTTATAATAATGTTGATATGTGCGGCTTTCAGTAAAATCAGGGTGGTGTAGGTAAATTTAAAATGACCCCTGTGGCATATAGGGGACGAGTGACTATGACTTAATATTGGGCTGTTTAAGTTAAGGCGTGCAGATAGACAATCGTTGAGAGTTCTCGAATGTGGCCCTTGTCGTGACAGTGGTTAGATAGTAGAAAGTTGAAAATATGAGAATGACCAAAGATTGACCTCCAGGTAATGAAGATAGGGTGAGATGTAGTATACCAAGATACTCTTACCTATAACCTTTTTTTTTTATGTCATGTTTTTTAATGAGGAATGTTAAGTTGACAGTTGAGAGGGGTATTGCTAAAGTCGCAAGGAATAACAAGAAGAAAATGAAAGAGTAAGGGCAGATCGAGATTATCACGATATTCCTTATTATGTTCATTATTATTTTTTATCGTCTTGGCTTTCTTTGTGTTCACATTAGCTTTACTTGGCATCTCAAAAGTTTTTTTTTTTCATCGTTGTGTTCACTTGGGTCGTCTTCATCGTCGTGTTAAACGAGGTCATCTTCGTCATTACGTTCATATTTGTCACCTTCATAATTATTATTAAGGTTTTTGTTTTTGTTGATATGTTCATTGTGTTTACCTTCATCTTTGTAATCAAGATAGTCGTCTTCATCGTTGTGTTCACGGTGATTATTTTTATAGTCGCAGTAACAATCTTCTCGTTCACACAAAAGATCATCATCGGGTTTTTCAAAGTCCTCCTCGCATTCATGTGCTTGACCCCATTCGTACTCCTACCACTCCCCATCGATTTCGTTTATGGTGGACCTCATATGAGCTCACGGTGATTTATGTTATAATTTATAGTTTTTCGTGGCGAAGACACTAGAGGTGTGCTCCTTCGGTTACATCTCAAGCAGTGACGTTGTTTGCCGATAACGACGGTCAAGTTCAAAGTTAGTACGTTCGGAGACCGTGAAAAAAAAAAAAAAAAGTGAAGGGGGGTATCATGGTGGATGGTAGGATAATGTCAGTCTATAACGTCGCTTAACTTAGACTTTATTGCAGTCAAGTATATTCAACCGTTCTATCTACTTCTGTATAAATTATGGTTGGGTTTCATTTGCCTTTCAATATTTTACATCGGACGACGTGGATGGTGGAGTTAAATTCGTCGTTATGAGAGTGTTTGAAAAAGTAGAGTAGGGAGAGGAGACTCACCCAACATGAGGGTGCCCGCTCGTAGGTTAAGATCACAATTCAAGTACAGTTAATGCAATGCTCTGTTTCCTCGTTCACAACCACAAACCCCGCACTGTTTGACAAGTCATCTGCCAGTCGTACTCAAAACCGCAAAACTTTTCACATACACTTAGACACCACCTTGCATGCAACTCACAGTCACATTTACAATCATATGAAACTCATACAAAAGTTCATGCATAGTACTATAAGTAAAATTTAACCACAACTGACAAACAACATCACAAATAACGATTATTATGTTCCAATTTATAACACTTTCCATCATTTTATCTCACAGTGAGTAAGGAAGTTCTTGATCATGAAATCAAGAGGTATATATTTGCTATCAAAACCCTGAACACACATTCGAATATAAAGTTATAAATGTTTAAGTAGAATCTCGAAATCTGAAAGTGTATTTTTGATAACAAAACCCCAAGTACACCTCGGGTTGTAAAGCTGAAAATGTATAAGTAAAATCATGAAATCCCATAATGTATTTTCATTAACGAAATGATTGAAAGATGGAAAAGTGGGCAAACGCAGAGCGTCGCTGAAGCCTGGAAGGTTACACACACCGTCATGCATATACACACCGAGATACGTTCTTCGCAGGCATGCAGCCCAAGAGGGGTCAGAATATCTTAGAAAGAATCGTTAAGCACACCATCTCCAACATTCCAACACAACCATCCCCTTGCGCCCTTGCGCAGATCGTTACAATACCCGAGCTCCAATCCCATGCTAGCGCGTCTGGCTATTCCCTACACGTTTCAACCGACGCCAGATGCGGGTATCATCAGGGGTAGGCATCCCTCCTTGGTGAAAAGGACGGCGGTCAACCGTTAAATACAACTGACGCCGTCAGACCTATACTAGCCTAAGTCTAAACTTGTTTGAACTTGTCACAATCCGGCGCCTTCGTCCCGACGAACCGTCCCAACACTTCAGTAAAACATTTTTCCGGATAGTCCAACAACCTGAGCTCCCTACTTAGCGAAAGAAGGGGTACTTCTGCCAGCTCCGTTGTTGACGTGCATGCCCGGATTCGGGCTAGTGCGCTATTTATCACTCCATTTTTCTGCTTATTATCAGAGTACGACCCGAAACTCTGCATGGACCTGTACGAGTACTCTTTTGCCCACACATTTTCCTTGTTTTTTCCTTTGTACCTGATCTCAACCCGATTCGGCTCCTTCGAGATTCTCAGATCACATCCTAGAAAGGTCCAGGCCCCCCTCCCATCATTTGTCCTTTTTAGCTGCAAGTTCACATCGTAAATCCCCACAACCTTTCCACCACATCTGTCGCTCTATGTTTCCCTCTATTTATCCTACCCTCCCACACAAACACTGACAGGTCATCGACCAACCTCACCCCTCGAATCAAACCCCTGTCCCTCCCTAGTGACTCCAAAAAGCATGCCTCGTTATAAATGGATAACAGGCAGGCCAAGGGGGGACTGCTGCTTTTTCCCATGGGTACCCCCTTGACCTGTCTCATCAGTCTACTGGCCGCCATCAAAAAAGTATTAGCTCACTCATATTTTACGTAATCCATCACCTGATCCACACTCACAAACAGCCAGTCCTTATCCCTTTGATTTGCAAACGATACCCCCTTTCCCTTCTTCTTCACATACACCCCTTCCCTCTTTTTTTTCTTCATCCTTCCTCTTAGCCACTCGACGACTTTTAGTATCGATGCGTGTGGTAACTCATTGAACATTTCCTTAACATCAAATGACAACCCTTTTATCGTCCCTCCTTCCCCTTTCGCCAGTGCCCATCTGGTAATCTCTTCCACTCTCCTTTTCAGCCCTCCCGTCGATTTCAGATTAAAATGCCCAGACGGAGGTAGCAGGGTTATCATGCCATTCAAGGCTCCCGTAACTCTCTGCCCTGCTTGCTTTGACGGTTCTGAGTAGGACGGGGTGATTGGCCTGAATCTGCCAATATCTTTGTTCTTCAGCAGGATGTACCCATGCCCCAACCTCCCTTTCCCGTCCCATTTCCCCAAGCTATTGAATCCTCCTTCTTCATACGTGCCCTTACACTCGGCAAGGACATCCTCCTCTGAACCTCCGACAACATAAAAACTCTTCTTTCCCCAGAACATATCCCTCATTCCATCTGCATACACCTTCGCGCACATGACCAGCGACTCTGCTGGGTTTTTATCAAGAGGCACCCGGACGAAGTTTACCAGTAGTCTTCTCCATCGCTCAACAGCGTTGTCAGTGTACCCCCTCCCGCCATTTCCTTCCATCCTAACGGCTTTCCACACATCACCCGGTTTTATTGATCCGTCCAACCCAAATTTCAACAAAGCATCATTTACTTTCATAAATACTTCCTTCGCAAGGTCCCTTCCTACCTTCCTAATTGAGTCCTTTGCGTTCTTAAACGCATCGGGGACATTCCTCAACGTACTTAGTTTAAAGGTCGCATGACCCTCCACCTTTGGGAGGTCCGAGTCTGCACACGGGCAGACACCAACCACATCTCGGGCTACTGCTCTGTGGTTCTGCAGGGCCTGACCAACCGTTTGATTTCGTTTCCAAACGGTTCTCAGTCGCCTGCAAATGACCTTACTGACGCATTCAGGAAAGTGCTCCCTAACCCTTTCTTTCACCAGTTCCCGAACTTTCTTCTTCGAAATCGCATCACTATAGGTAATTCCTACCACCAACCTCTTCCTCAGTTTCACCCCGAATTTTTTCAAAATAACTCCGTCCACAATGTTCTTGACTTTTTTTCCTCGTGGTATTTTTGGAGAACGTTCTCGCAGCCTGAAACAGTTTGACCAACTCCTCTAACGACCGCTTATACAGTCCTTTCACGGTCCAAGGCAGTGAGAGCAGTCGGATCAATGTTTTCTTATCCTTAGTTAGCCCAAATTTGCCCCGAACTAACCTCACCACCTGGATCCTTCCCCCTTTCTCCAGTTCTTTCTTGCATTCTTTCAACGCCGCTGTCTTTCCCTTGATTCGCAGAATCGTCTCACCAAACATCCTTCGAACTATCGACCACTTTGTAGTCCAAACATTTCCGCTTTCCGCTATAAAATCTCGGTTCCCTTCATTCAACACCAAACACAGATCGCAAAACTCCCTCTCCTTTGTTCTAAATCTAATTAGTTGAACCCCTTTGCCATTCCCTCTTCCCTTCCTTGCCTTTCTGGCTCTGTTCCCTTTTCTTCCCTTCCGCTTACCCGATTTCGTGCATCCAATGCTATTTAAGCACGGTGACCATCGCTTAATACACATTCCCTCGACCTGAAGTAACTCATCGTTACCACAACACACCAAAGGAATTGCAACATACCCCTTCCATCCCACTTTTATGAGCCACTTGTACAACCTATTCCTTCCACCCTGCTGGTTTGACAGCTGCACGTGTTCCCGCCATCTCACATCAAGTTTCCTTTCCGTTTTTCCTATATAGAATTTTTGACAAAACGGACTTCAGATGATGTAGACACATAAATTTGCATACAACCATTCATACGGACTTCTATCGAATGCTTCAAGCAGAAACCTCCTAAATTTACTTGCATGCGCGATACAGCCCTCCACAATTAAAAACAACAAAAGTATCCGACAAATCCTATCAATAATCCCAAATAGTCGCTTACCATCCCGTCTCACCCCCAAATTTACTCTTATTGCGAGCGCTCCCAAAAGAAAATCTCACGCTCTATCCCTATTCACTTCCTCCTCCTTGTTCACTCTGCTCAACCGTATCACCGACCCTATCTGTCGGGCCGGCCCGGACGGAAGAGACGCAGCTGGGTTCCCTTGAACCTCGTACCTCCATGCCCGTGGCAGGAGCCGGTTCGAATACGCTATGCATGACGCGCAACTCGGTCAACTCTTCAACTGCCTCGTCCTTCTTCCCTCTCCAGGTAATTCCCTTCCTTCTACACATCATTTTTACCTCTGGAACCAGCTTCCTCGACACGAACTTGGCTACTGCTACCTTATAGCTCGTTCTGCTTCTGTAATCCGTCGAGCACGGCACTCCGTTCCACGGATCCAATTCCAAACTCGGCACTTCCTTCTTCTTTGGTCGGCCCCTCGCTTTCCTTCCTTCTTCCCCCGGAGAAGCCTCGACGAATACCGGCTGCCTTGAACTAGTCCCCCTGGCCGCTTTCAGCGGAGTTTCCGCCAGTGAGCTCAACCTGTTCGCGCCTGGCGGAACTATAGCCCTTTTCCTTCGTCGACAAACCCTCTCCTCCTCCTCCTCTTCCTCTTCGTCTTCCTCCTCCTCCTCTCCATCCTCCTCCTCCTACTCATCGCCCCCACCTTCCTTCATTAATTTCTTACCTTCTTGCTTCACCATCTCGTGGAGCTCCTCGTTGACCGCCGATTTCACTTCCTTCCTCAGGAACACAGGTTGCTCGCTAAATAACTTTCTGATACTCCAATTCCTATCAGCTTCCTTTTTTTCCTCTTCACCCTTCTTCTCAAGTTCGATCCGCTTCGCTTCCTCCTTTGCTACCCTTTCAAACTCCTCTCTCTTCAATCTTTCCTCCTCCTCTTTCTTCGCGGCGTTCGCCTTCGCTTTTTCCTCCAGAGATAGCTTAAAAAAAGAGGCCATCGCGCCAAAAGACTCCTCCAGTTCCGTACTTAATTTAACCACCAGTGCCGACGCACCTCCACCTCCTTCATTACCTGTTGCCACACTTCCACTCCCTGCTCCGTTCCAACCTTGACCCGGCGCGCCGCCTTGCGGTTGACCATTTCCCTGTTGATACCCACCCCCGCCCCCTTGTCTCGGCATCATACAATCCCTGGAGTAATTCCCGCATTGACCACAATTATAGCATTTGACATTTCTCCGCCCACCTCCTCCACCCCAGTTTCCACCACCTGGCCCTCCTCCATTCCAGCCTGCTCCCCCATCATTCCATCCCGGCCCACTTCCATTCCATCCTCCACCTCTGGGCCATTCCATCCACTTAGCGGGCCATTATTCCAGCCCCCTCCCCACCCGTTCCCGTTTTAACCCTGCCCTCCACCATTCCATCCACCTAGCGGGCCATTATTCCAGCCCCCTCCCCACCCGTTCCCGTTTCCATTCCCGTTTCCCCCATTCCCTCCCTATCCAGGCGGTCCCCAATTTCCTCCTCCCCCACCCTAATTGTTACTATTCCCTTGATTATTTTGGTCCATAGTATGACGCCCTCCCTCTTGTCCTTACCTCCTATGATCGTTAGCGCGATTCCAGTCGACGAATTTGGTCCTCGCGGTTACCAACTTGAGACGCTATGGCTTACTCCTTACCCTTCGTCTGCGAAACCTAAGAAGTCTAGCCTTCGCTGTCACCATATACGAGCGGCTCCCTCGACAGGTTACAGCGTCTTTGAACAGATGGAAAAGAGGGCGAACGCAGAGCGTCGCCGAAGCTTGGAAGGTTACACACACCGTCATGCATATACACACCGAGATACGTTCTTCGCAGGCATGCAGCCCAAGAGGGGCCAGAATATCTTAGAAAGAATCGTTAAGCACACCACCGCCAACATTTCAACACAACCATCCCCTTGCACCCTTGCGCAGATCGTCGTTAATACCCGAGCTCCAATCCCATGCTAGCGTGTCTGGCTATTCCCTATGCGTTTCAACCGGCGCCAGATGCCGGTATCATCAGGGGTAGGCATCCCTCCTTGGTGAAAGGGACGGCGGTCAACCGTTAAATACCGCTGACGCCGTCAGACCTATACTAGCCTAAGTCTAAACTTGTCTGAACTTGTCCCAATCCGGCGCCTTCGTCCTAACGAATCGTCCCAACAAACCGTCCCAACACTTCAGTAAAAGATTTTCCCGGATAGTCCAACAGCCTGAGCTCCCTACTTAGCGAAAGAAGGGGTACTTCTGCCAGCTCTGTTGTTGACGTGCAGGCCCGAATTCGGGCTAGTGCGCTGTTTATCACGCCCTTTTTCTGCTTATTATCAGAGTACGACCCGAAACTCTGCATGGACCTATACGAGTACTCTTCTGTCCACATATCTTCCTCGTTTTTTCCTTTCGGCTCCTTCGAGATTCTCAGATCACATCCTAGAAAGGTCCAGGCCCCCCTCCCATCATCTGTCCTTTTTAGCTGCAGGTTCACATCGTAAATCCTCGCAACCTTTTCCACCACCTCTGTCGCTCTATGTTTCCCTCTATTTGTCCTATCCTCCCACACAAACACTGACAGGTCATCGACCAACCTCACCCCTCGAATCAAACCCCTGTCCCTCCCTAGTGACTCCAAAAGGCATGCCTCGTTATAGATGCATAACAAGCAGGCCAAGGGGTGACTGCTGCTTTTTCCCATGGGTACCCCCTTGACCTGTCTGATCAGTCTACCGGCCGCCATCAAAAAAGTATTAGCTAACTCATATTTTACGTAATCCATCACCTGATCCATACTCACAAACAGCCAATCCTTATCCCTTTGATTTGCAAACGATACCCCCTTTCCCTTCTTTTTCACATACACCCCTTTACTTTTTTTCTTCTTCATCCTTCCTCTTAGCCACTCGACGACTTTTAGTATCGATGCGTGTGGTAACTCATTGAACATTTCCTTAACATCAAATGACAGCCTTTTTATCGTCCTTCCTTCCCCTTTCGCCTGTGCCCATCTAGTAATCTCTTCCACTCTCCTTTTCAGCCCTCCCGTCGATTTCATATAAAAATGATCAGACGGAGGTAGCAGGGCTATCATGCCATTCAAGGCTCTCGCAACTCTCTGCCCTGCTTGCTTTAACGAAATACTTAATACACATGCCAGGATGTAAAGCTAAAAACGTCCAAGTAAAATCCCGAAATCCCCGAGTTTATTTTCACTAATGAAACCCTGTGTATAGCTGGGGACAAAGTTGTCAAGCCGGACGTACGGAGGCCCCTAAGCTGATCCCCGAACGTTCGGGCGTTCGGCTCCCCGTACAGGGCCCGAACACGAAGGGGTTCGGACCCCGTAAAAAATTAGTCTGGTACCTAGACATTATTATTTGTTTTTGATTGTTTTTTTGTGAGTTCTCTGTTATGTAAGTTACCTGTCTCTCAATTTTGAAGTCATTCTGTGGAGCCAAACAATAATGAAAATCGACAAAGATGGTGGTGTCAAAACATGCTTTCACACTTACTAATTTGTTTTTTTTTTTTTTTTTCACGTTTTGTTTTCCCTTTATTTCGGGGCCTCAAAAAAATTATTATTTTTTCAAACTTTATTTGTAGGTTCTCTATTATGTAAGATACATATATATAAAGTTTCATTGCATTTGACAAAGCCAAAAATAAATTAAAAATCGCCAAAGATGGCGGTGTCAAAAACTTGCTCGCCCACGCAATAATTTCATTCTCGTTTTATTTTTTCTTATTTTCATTAATATTATTTATTTATTCGTATTTGATTTTTATTTCAAATTTGGTAAGAAATTTTTATGTATTGTTGAGCCAAATGTTGTTTAGTTTATTCTTTTGCATGACATATTTATTTTTCAGAATTTTTGGATTTGTTTTTTTTTTTTTTTTTTTTTTTTTTTTTTTTTTTTTTTTTTGTTCCGCGTTCGGCCGAACGTCCGAACGTGTTGAGAGGGGGTCCCAAACATTCGGGCGTTCGCGTTCAGGTGTTCGGCCCGTCCCGAACGTCGGCAACCCTGCCTAGGGATATAAAGTTAGAAATAACTAAAAAAAAAATTGAAATCCCATAGTATATTTTTGCTAACGAATTCACCAACATCTCGAGATCTAAAGTTCGAAAGGACTAGGTAAAATTATGAAATTCACATATATATATATATATATATATATATATATATATATATATATACATGGTTACCTGACCGAACGTTCAGGGACCCCTGGGCTGGCCCCCGAAAGTTCGGGCGTTCGGGGTCCCGTTCGGGGGTCGAACACCTCCAGGTTCGGCCCCCGCCAAAAAAAAATTCGGGGCCTAAAAATAAGTTTTTGTTTCCGAAGTTGTTTTTGCGAGTTCTCTATGATGTAACCTACACGCCTATCAATTTTGAAGTCATTCTGCTAAGCCAAAAAAAACATTAAAAATCGCCAAAGATGGGGGTGTTAAAATGTGCTCGCCCACTCAATATTTTTTTTTTTTTCACTTTTAACTTTTTGTTTTTACTTTATTTCGGGGCCTAAACAATTTTATTATTTTTTTAAAACATTTTAATGAGTTATCGATTATGTAAATTATACATCTGTAAATTTTCGGGGCATTTTTCAATGCCAAAAAATATTTAAAATTGAGCAAAGATGGCGGCGTTGAAAAGGTGCTGGCATACTCACTCATTTTAATTCTCTTTTTATTCTTATTTTTTATCTGATTTATCATAATATTTATTTTCTGTATTTCATTTTTAATTCATATTTGGTAGAGAATTTGGATGTAGTGCCCAGGCAAATGTTGTTTAGTTTATTTTTCTCCATGACATATTTGTTTTACGAAATTTTTTAAAAACTTTTTTTTTTTCCTTTGTCCGCGTTCGGCTCGAACAACCGAACGCCTTCCGAAGGGGTCCCGTACGTTCGGACGTTCGGGTTCGGGCGTTCGGCTCGTCCCGAACGCCGAACGCGGACCTTAAAAAAAATAAAAAAAAATAAAATATATATATATATATATATATATGTTATGGAGAAACATAAATTAAACAGGATTTGCCTTAGCATTACATACGAATTCCTTACCAAATTTGAAATAAAAATAAAATACGGAAAACAAATATTAATAATAAAAATAAATAAAAATAAAAAGAGAATTAAATTTAGTAAGTGCGCGAGCATGTTTCCGACACCGCCATCTGTGGCGATTTTTCATTTTGTTTTGGCATAGCTAAATGCCCTTAAAATTTACAGATGTGTACTTCACATAATACAAAACGCACTAAAAAAGTTTAAAAAAATAATAAAATTGTTTAGACCCCGAATTGAAGTGAAAACAAAAAGTAAAAAGTGAAAAAATACGTGGGCGAGCACGTTTTGATACAGCCATCTTTGGCAATTTTTAATTCTTATTTGGCTTTGCCAAATGACGTGAAAAGTTACAGGCATGTACCTCACTTCATAGAGAACTTAAAGAAAAACAGTCAGAAAAAAATAATTATTTTTAGGCCCCGAAATAATTTTTGGCGGGGGATGAACGCCGTCGGGTTCGGACCCCRTACGGGACCCCGAACGCCCGTACGTACGGAGGTCTGCTCGGGGACCTCCGTACGTACGGGCTGGTGACCCTGTATATATATATATATATATATATATATATATATATATATATATATATATATATATATATATATATATATATATATATATATATATATATATATATATATATATATATATATGAAATACATTATCTTCAATGAAACCTCGAATATACCCTAAAATATTAAACTGTAAATAACTACACATGATCCAAAAATCTCGGAGTGTATTTTTTATAAAGAAATCTCGAATACACTTCGAGATATGAAATTATAAGTGAGACTAAAAACAATCCTGAAATCCAATCATTTATTTTCGTTAACAATAACCCCGACTATACCTTGGGTTACAAAGTTGGAAAAAACTAAGTACAATTTCGAAATCGTAGAGTGCGTTTTCGCTATTGAAACGTCGAATACATGTGGGGATATAGAACTATAAATGACTAAGTACAATCCTAACATATCAAAATTTATTTTCGTTAACAAAATCGCGAATACACCACCTTATATAAAGTTAGAAACGACTAAGTAAAATCCTAAAATCCTTAAGTGTATTTTCGCTAACGAAACCCGAATTGTAATGTGGGATATAAAATTAGAAATGACTAAGTACAATCCCCAAATCCCAGAGTATACTTTTCGTTAACAAAATCATGAATACACCTCTAAATATAAAGTTAGAAATGACTAAGTAAAATCTCAATATCCCAGAGTGTATTTTCGCTAAGGAAACCCCATCAAAATGTGGGCGTTACGTATGTTTGTTGCCCTTTGATTT